ACACAGACACAGACACACACACACAGACACACACACACACACAGAGCAGTGCAAACACTTCCCAGACTGGTTTCTCAGACAGACACGTTCGAGCACACAGGCTGAAATAGAGCAAAGGTCACGCTTCACTCTGAGCACACTACTGAGGGAAGGTGGACGAGAACCACAGACAGACAGACAGACTGTCTTCAAGCTCACATGAAGTCAAAATTTTATTTACTTCGTTAGCACTAGGCATGGGCCGGTATGAGATTTTGACGGTATGATAACCTTAAGCAAAAATATCATGGTTTCACGGTATTGTTGTTACAGCTCTAAAATATGTTATTTTTAAATGTCTGGGTAAAAACAAAAAAAAATTTCCACTGAACACAATCCATTTAGCGGTTTTGAAACGTGACATTTTCAAATCGCGGTATACCTTGAAACCGGTAATCGGCACATGCCTAGTTAGCACACATTATTAGTCTTATGGTTAACAATTCATCCATGCAAGTTAGAAAAATAAAAAAAAAGAAAACACTGAAATCAGCTGATGGTTCCAAAAAAAAAAAAGAGATTCAAAAACATGAAATATTAAAGGGCTTGTGTGTGTTAGGTTAAAAAAAATAAATTATTATATATATTATGAAATAGTTATTTATAATATTGTAATTATTATAATAATATTTTATTATTATATTTCTGTGGTATATTTTATGGTATATATTAAAAATATGGTGTGTATATATATATATATATATATATATATTACAGAATATAAACAGAAATTTAAATAATACAATTATATTAGGATGTTTAATACTATACTTGTATCACATTATATTATAAACATAGACATAAAGAAATAGGCTACTGTGTATAAAAAAAGAGACAACAGACAATGAGACAGAGACGAATATTCCAGAACATGGGCTTCGTAGCATCACTAACACACGAGGATCATGGGAAGAGATGGTGAGAAATGCTGTGATTTAGATTCTCTCTCTCACACACACACACACACACACACTCTCTCTCTCTCTGGTTACAGCTGATACAGTGTTTCCTTGGTTACCGCTGTAAACAAAGCAGCGCTGCCTGAAACACTGCTTTAATATGAACTATACAGAGACGACATGAAAAGAAAATACCATGTAAACTTTTCTGAAGACAGTCAGTTCCCCTCAGAAACACATTCATATAAACCCCCAAATCAATATTGAGGATTTCCTTCCAATAGTTCGTGCATCATGAACAGTGAGTGATCTGCCTGCTGCAGTATTTTTCTCTTCGTCTGTCTTCAGAGTCCCGTTTACAGACTTCATATTTTCACATAAATTACATTTTGGAAAATTATTGCATTGCAACGCAGTTTGTGCAAGTCCAGAACAGAGACGAGTTGCTTGCAATGAGACAAAAAATGGCCGGTTACCGATCGTGTAAATTCCAGGGGAAGCTCCTTAAGTTCGGTCGTCCTACACACACGTGACTGACCGCTCACCGCTCGGTACAGCAGGAGGCGTGTTACTCTCTACACTCACTCAACCTGAGGGATTCCTACACTTTCAGCTTTCAGTGAGACATGAAAAACAGCGCATACCGCAGGAATGGTCTAACGGAAAATATTAGCAGTTTTGAAACCGTGACATTTTCAAATCGCGTTATACTGAAACCGGTAATCGGCCCATGCCTACTTAAGACTACAATTTTACTCTGAGTGGCTTTATGCATACGGCCCTAGAATATTATAATTACTGTTCAGTAGGAGTTTGAGTGTGATTGGTTAATTCCAAACAGAGTACCATGTTGTGTTATAAAAGTGTGCACCTTTATGCAAGTCAGTTTCAGGTTTTATTTTTTTATTTTTTTACTTTTAAAAAGTTTGTTTATTTCTTAAATGAATTTTGTAGGTAGAAAAAGATCGGACATGATTTAATTAGATTTTTTTACATCGCAAAAAGCTTTAGCAGGAGTGTGCAGATGTTTTATACCCACTGTGTGTCATCAGCCATTAAAGTTCAATTCCAGTAGTAAGAGGACACATGGAAGTACCAGATTGTGTAGCGCCTGTGATGTGTTTATTGAGCATGTGCTGTTTAACAGGATCACAGCGCATCTCGTTCTCACAAAGATGCAGATTCAGTCTTCTGTGTTCTCGTGTCCTGGAGTTAGTTCTTTTAAGGTAGCCTGGCAAGATGACAAAAACACAAGTACATTCTTTCTTAGACTGTTCTTAGACTTGAGAAACAGCCTTTGTCCTTCCTCTGCATCCCTGCTGGTTCTGACCCACAATGCCACAGTTCTGCTCTTAGACTCTGGTCATGTGTCCCTGACTCTACATTAAACGAGACCTTACCTTTAAGAGGTCATATTTACATCATATTTATTACATTTTTAAAATCACATTTAAAGGCTGTATGAACCCAAATAAACATGTTATGACAGAGACAAACATAAGATCAACATCTCAGTGAAACATGTTATTGTACAGTTCACTCATTGAATATTGCCATCTAGTGGCTAAAGCTTGGAAGTAAATGTTTGACACCCTGGGGAATGTCAGATCTCTAACAACATAATCAGACCAGACAAATGATCTTAAACAGTGTAGATTCAGACTTTCCTCCATTGTTTTCATGCTTTGTCTTTTTTTTTTAGATCCATGTGTGTCAGAATATCACAATCCTCTTTATAGATTGATCTTTCTGTCTTGTTTTCAGCGTGATTCCCGGCACACAGAAGATCTGGGTGAGGACCTGGGGCTGCTCTCACAACAGCTCTGATGGAGAATACATGGCTGGACAGCTGGCTGCCAGCGGATATAAGATCACAGGTACACATGAAAACAGATCAGACGCTTTTCCATTCAAGATTTCAGACATCAGCAGTGCAGTTTTTAGCGTTTTAATTACTGGACTATAAAAGTTTTAATTACTGCCTCTTGTGCTTTTTATAGTTACAGTTTACTACATTTGTAAAACTAATCTCATACAATCGTCTACCTAATGTAAGCTAACGTAAGGGTTTGACCAATGTGACGCTGCAGCTCAAGACTGGAATTGAGTCCTCCAGCAATTTAAGAGAAGACACTCTTATGAGAATGTGTTGGAGTGCAAACAAAGGTGAACCAGTAGACTATGTGAAAGTTAAAACTACAAACAAGAGATGCTGTCATGTGTGAATATACTCAAAGCGAATTTCTGTTCTGTTCTTTGCTTAGAACATCACACCACACACACTTACTATAACACTCACACACACACACACAAACAAACATCACACACACTCACTATAACACACACACACACACACTCACACTCACTCACTCACTCACTCACAAGCACACATTATTAGTCTTATGGTTAACAATTCATCCATGCAAGTTAGAAAAATAAAAAAAAAGAAAACACTGAAATCAGCTGATGGTTCCAAAAAAAAAAAAGAGATTCAAAAACATGAAATATTAAAGGGCTTGTGTGTGTTAGGTTAAAAAAAATAAATTATTATATATATTATGAAATAGTTATTTATAATATTGTAATTATTATAATAATATTTTATTATTATATTTCTGTGGTATATTTTATGGTATATATTAAAAATATGGTGTGTATATATATATATATATATATATATATATTACAGAATATAAACAGAAATTTAAATAATACAATTATATTAGGATGTTTAATACTATACTTGTATCACATTATACTATAAACATAG